AACAAGATGTATTGACAGAATTGTTAGGTTGGAGAATAGTTAAGAGCCCTTTTTTATACTCCATATATGCTTTTCTGTACTTTGTTTTAATGCTAGGTACATATAATACTTTCATTTTTCTTTCAGAAATAATAAAAATTCTGAATTGGACTCTAACATTGAGCCCTCAGTGGCCCTGTAATAAGAGATGATGCTAACTTTGGTAGAGTCTTTATATATTTTATATGGTATTTCATATGGTAAGAGTTATCTGAGCTGTTGCTTCAAGCGTACTATGACGTAATTATAAATAAGATAGATGTAAGGGTCAACTATAGCTTTGGGAAATTGTTTCTTTGACTCTAGCTTCACTAATATCTAAATGATAACAGTTAGAAATAACTTTAGTTCTACTGTTTTCTCTGTTGTTAGGTGCTGTCGAGTCATTTGCAACTCAAAGCACCCCATGTACAACAGCCCTAAACCCTGCTATGTCCTGTGCCAATCTCACTGTCTCTGACACACCCACCCCGAATACTCCAGTCACTGAATCAGTCTACCTCATAGAGGGTCTTCCCCTCCTGCACTGTCCCTCCACCCTCCCAAGTATGACATCCCTCTCTAAGGACTGATCCCTCCTTGAAGTATGTCCAAGGTATGTCAGACAAAACCTCAGAATCCTTGCCTCCAAGCAGCAGCCTGGTTTAACCTTTTCCAGGATGAACCTGTTTTCTTAGCAGTCCATGGTACCCTCAGTACTCTTCTCCAGCACCACAGCTCAAAGGCATCAGTTCTCCTTCTATCCTCCCTTAGTCATTGTCCAGCTCTCTGATGCATAGCAAGTGCTTACAAAGACCATGGACTGTATTAGGCACACCTTAGTCTACAGAGTGGCACCATTGCTCTTCAGTACCTTGGAGAGGTCCTTACCAGCCAACTTTACCATCGCCATACATCCTTTAATTTCCTGGCTGCTGGTGCCAAGGGTGTTAACTGTAGAGCCAACCAAACTAAAGATATAAACAATCTCAATCTCCTCACCATCCATCCCAATGCTTCCAATTGACCCAGTGGTGAGACTCTTTGTCTTATTGATATTGAGCCTTAATTCATATTGAAGGCTACCATGCTTGACCTTCTGCTGCAAGCACTTCAGGTCCTCCTCAGTTTCAGCAAGCAGGGTTGTGTCATCTGCATAATGCAGGTTTCTCCCTACTTTTACAATCAGAGACCGATCGAACATGCAGTCAAGATGAATTAATAATAATGGGTGACTGGAATGCAAAAGTTGGGAACAAAGAAGAAGAATAAGTAGTTGGAAAACATGGACTCAGTAACAGAAATGAAGCTGGAGATAAAATAACTGAATTTTGCACAATGACTTAGTCATTGCAAATATGTTTTATAAGAAATATAATTATTCACAATGGGTGAACCTGGAGGACATTATGCTGAGTGAGGTATCTCAGTCACAAAGGGACAAATGCTATATGGTGCCACTGTTACAGAATGAGGCTGGCATCGGGGTGGGGGTAAGACTGAGAAAAACTGGATGAAATATGTTTACGGCATTGAAGTCTATGGGGGAAAGAATAGTCTAAAAGTATTATATTTTAGGGCATTATTTTTATCGTAGGAGTATGCAATGAGGGTTGCAGAGTGGATTATATTTGGGGGTTGGGGTGAGGTTTGGGGAGGTGCGGGGGGGATTGTGTACCAATGAGGGAGTTTTTCTTTTGCTTTTCAAGGAGCGGAGCAAACTGGGGGGGGGGTTGTGCGGGGAGAAGGGTGCAACAATGAATGAATGGAATTCCAAAATCTCTGTAGATGTTCATTGAAATGAAAAATAAACAAACTAAATTAATAAAAAAGAAATATAAACGCAGATTATACACATGGATTTCATCTGATGGTATGCATAGGAATCCGATTGATCCATATCTGTGGAAAGAACCACTGGTTCTAACAGTGGCACAAATCAAGTTAAAGAGGGAAGGTAGTTCTTAAAATAAAAGGCTTCTTGACCAGCACTTGGTTTGTTATAATATAAAGGTTAGGAACCACAAGATGTAGAGGCTCAACTATGTCATTTATTGTTCTTAAGTCCTGGACCAAATTCTATCTACCACTGGATTGTTTTACAGCTCAGAAGTCTGCATGCAAGGAAGACGTGAAGTAAGGAACTGCTTATGAGGTTTCCCATCAATTCCAACAACTAAGAAATAGTGAGAAGAGTTGGGACCTCAGACGGCTTTTAGGACCAAATAATAGGCTCTTGTGTCCAGTAGAAAATGAATATACTTACAAGTAATGTTAATGCTCACCCATGGCTCTTCTGGGAGGATCTGAATTATTGAAGCGGTTTTGAGGTTTTTTTGCCAAGTAATTTTCTAGTATATGAATTTACCACGTTTTACTTAAGCAGTGTATGTTAATAGTCCTCACTTTTCTTTTTTTTTAAAGTTATATACTACCTCATTTTTGTAAATTGATGATTTCTTGGCCCAGTCTCGTTTTGGACATTTCTATTATGTCTTGGGGTTTTTTTTTCACTATTATAAACAAGTCTGTAGTGAATATCTTTGTAAATATGGTATATTTCTGTGCAATGGAATGAGTTTTTATTTTGCACACAATTTACAATATCAAAGATTATAGTTTTTCCAATTTAGTAGTGCAAAATTGCCTTTAGGTACACTAATTTATATACCTTCTAACTATTCTATGAGAATACCTGCTACCACTGAGTCTTTTAATCTGTTTAATCTGCCAATCTAATAAAAGTGAAATCCTATTTCAGTTTTTCTTTCTTCAAATTAAGAGTGAAACTGAGTTTCTTGATACTCACAGACCATTTTATGCTCTTCTAGGAACTAAAATGTAGCCAAGTAGTTAAGAGCCCAATTTTAGAGCCTGACAGACTTGACTCAGATTGTGGCTTTGTAGTTTTACTGTCCTGTCCATCATTTTTCCAGTTACTCTCATTGTTTCTATAATTTATAATTTATATTTTAGACTTTGTAAGACAAAGTTCTGTGTGAATCTACAGAAGTAGAATGGATGATTTGCCCTTGCCTATTTACTTGGGCACAAATTTAGAACTTGACTATAAATACATACATTCCTGATTTCTAACCTCAGCTCAACCTGGAGCTTTCTCTGAAGTCTATATTTGGATTCAGAAGAATGGGAGTTCCAGGTGGGGTGAAGGAAATGAGGATCTTTTGTAAAAAAACAATGTATTCAAACTTTGTATATAATTAAGAATAATATTTTTTAAAAAATTTTAAATGGGGAAAAAGAAAACAAAGAATTAAATTGTATAGAAAATTTTATTCAGTTCTTAAACACTCTAACTCAAGGGCAAAGGCCATGTCTATTATGTATTGTTGCCTCCAATAGATTGCGTCTATTAATGAGTGAGTAAAGGTGAGAACTAAAAAGTGTTAAAAAAAAAAAGATGGGAATTCCAGAACACTTAGTGATGTTCATATAAAACCTATACCTAGACCAAGAAGCTGTAGTGCAGACAAAGCGAGGGAACACTGTGTGGTTTAAAATCAGGAAAGATGTGTGTCAAGGTTATATCCTATCTTAATATCTATTTAGTCTATATACTAAACAAGAACCCGGAATGAAAAATCGTTTGGTGGCATCAGGATTGGAGAAAGACTCATCAACAACCTGCTTTATGCAGATTATATGCCTTATTTGCCGAAGGATTTAAAATACTTACTTCAGAAGATCAAAGGTGGTAGCCTTCAATTTGGGTTACATCTCAGCATCAAAAAAACAAAAAGTTTCACCACCAGCCCAATAGGCAACATCATGACAGATGGAGAAGAGATAGAAATTGTCAATTATTTCATCTGGCTTGGATCCACAATCAACAACCTTGGCACCAGCAGTTAGGAAAACAAATCACGTATTGCTTTAGGAAAGTCTTCTGTCAGGAACCTCTTCACAGTGCTGAGAAGCAATGTTGTCACTTTAAAAACTAAAGTATACCTGATCCAGACCATGGTCTTTTCAGTGACTTACTGTGCATCTGAAAGTTTGCTAGTGACTGGGGATGTCAGAAGAAGAATCAATGCCTTTGAATTGTGGAGTTGATAAATAGTACTAAATACCCCATGCAAACAAATATATCTGGAGAAACTGCAGGCAGAGTGCTCCCTGGAAGCAAGGATAGTGAAACTTCATCTAACATGCTGTGGGCATGTTGTTCAGAGGACCTAGTCCTTGGAAAAGGGTCTTATGCTTAGAAAGGTAGAGGGTCAGCAGAGGAGGAGAAGGCTCTCAACAAGATGGACTGACACAGTGACTGTAATTGGGAGCTCAGGGATGTCAGACGTGATGAGGATGGCACAGGATAGGAAGACGTTTCAGACCATTGTTTATAGTGTTGCTATGAGTCATAGTTAAGTTGAGAGGACTTAAAAAGTTTGGATATGGAAACCAAATGGTTTTCTGCTCTATCTGATTCATCCCCTACCCCGGAGTCAGGTTCATTATCCTGCAGAGACATCTGTCTTCAAACACTAGTAACCGCAGTCTGTCCCGTCTCTCCCTCCATCTGTGCAAGCCTGACTCCTCTTGAGTGTCTTGATTCAAAAGCAGAATGTGAAAATGGAGACTCACAAATGGAGTGTTTCCTCCACTCATACTCCTCCAAATTCAGGGTTGTTTGTTCTAAGGGCTCTTCTGAACGATCTTAGTTAACATTTTAGGTCTGTGTTCTGCTCTGGATTGGGTGCCAGTTGGCTCTGTGACGGCCTTTGTTTATGACAAATAGGGTTTGGAATCTATGATGTGAGTTTGAGACAGAAACGGAATCAGTTTCTGTATAAATAGGCCTTTCTTCTCCTGGTTCTTATTGCTCACTTCAGTGAATTTCAGTGTGCTTATTCGTCTCTTCTTCCAGAAGTCTCTTGGGTCCTATAAAGCTTCCAAACAATATAATTCAGAGAGAGTAAAATATGCTTTACAAGTTCTGTTACTAACATGCATTTTTTTGGCAGGTATCCCTTGTATAACTGACTGTGTAATGGCTGAAATTGAGAAACTGGGGCAGAAGTATCGAGTAGCTCTAAGGTAGGAAGGAGTTATCTAAACTTAAACTCCATTAGAATACTGAAGATTTCTTTGATTCCTCTCATTAGGAAAGTTGTTATTTGAAATTCTTTTCTGTCAGTCTCTGACAGTTTATTTTAAAAAAATGTCAAGGTATGATATTCTTGAGGAAAATCTGTTAACTGATCAAAAATTAAAAATCTGTTAACTGTTAAATCTTGACTCTTTGAGTATATATTATTGTTCTTTTTGAAGCCCTCATAAACCACTTCTGCAATATACAGAAAAGGAAAGGTTGTCTCAGGGAAAAGGATTTGTGTGCTATTTGAGTTACAAGTTGAATAAAGTGCTTTTCTGAATGAAATACAATTTTTATGTGAAAGAACAGTTGAAAAACAAGTTATGCACACTTTAGTGCTTGGAAGATATTTTCTCTATAATTAAAGTTAATTTGTTATGTTAAAAGAAAATGTGCTGCATTCATTACTAATGACAAAATTTAAGCTTAATATTGGATAACTTGTATCTGTTACCATGATCTTATCATATTCTGAATGCTTAAAAAAGACTATTTCAATAAAATAACATTTAAAAAAGACTTTTTTTAAAAATTCATGGTACTGTTAATGAGTGCCATCATTTTGGTCTTGTGTAATGGAATATGTCAGTATTTGAAAGATACACATAACTGAATCAAAAGGAGATTGACTACAAAGGGTCATAAGGAAAAATTTTGTGGTCATGAAAATGTTCTAGATCTAATAATGATGGTAGTTACATGGGCATAGGAAAGTGTCATTGGACTATATGTGCATTTGCAATTTGTGATTTTCAGTGTACTTTTTAAAAACTTTTATTATATTTTTCTGTGTACCATCGAATTGGATCCAGCTTGTACAGGAAGAAATTGCTCCTCCTTCTCCTGCGGAGCATGTGTGAATTTGGACCACACGCATCCAGGATTGTAGCGCAGTTTCTTTCCACTAGTCCACCAGAGCACCAAATTTCAGTGTATTTTTACTAATACCTATTAAAGCTGTTTTTTGAAACAAAAGAAAACTATGAACCTAATGTATTAGGGTGCTTAGATTATTGGAAAAGTGATAAACCGTTAAATTGTTTAGTCCTGTGGCAAGAAATAAAACTATATTAAAATCTCTTCCTAGTGACTTAACTGGGAGCTCTGGTGGCCTAGTACATATTAAGAAGCTCCACTCCTATCCCAAAGGTACACGATTCGAATCCACCAACTGTTCCACGGGAGAAGGATGGGAAGACTCCTCCCGTGTGATTTATTCTCTAAAAACCTGTTGGAGAGTCAGCTGCAATGCACAACAACAGTGACTTAAGGATCTAAACGTTTAGTAGAAAGAATAGAGAGTATCTTACTGGTTTGGGGGCAGGCAGGATTTCTTTATATTCCAAACCAAACTGAAGAACTTCATTTAGACAGGTCACAAACTGAGACGATAGTAATAGCATTTATCATCAACAAAGGATTTTTATTTTAAAGTTGTGAGTTCTACAAATTTTAAAAGTCCTGGGAGCTCTGGTGGCCTAGTGGCAAGAAGCTGCACTGCAATCCCAGAGGTATGCGCTTCAAATCCACCAGATGCTCTGCTGGAAAAGGAGGGGCAATGTCCTCCTGTACCAGTAAGATCTGATTTGACGGTACACGTGCAAAAAATAATCAAGTAAAAATTTAAAAAAAAAAATTGTAAAAGTCCTTAAATCCTCAATGAAGTAATAATCATTTCATACACATAAGATTGGCAGTTTTTCCAAGTCATCTTGACAGTGCCAAGAAAGATGAGGCTGTGAAGTACTAAGAATTCTCATACTCAGCAGCTCAGGATCTAAATTGGTCTGCACACACTTACTGTCAAATCAGATCTTACTGGTACAGAAGGAGATTGTCCCTCCTTCTCCAGTAGAGCATCTGGTGGATTCGAACCCCACACGTCTGGGATTGCGGTGAACCTTCTTGCCACTAGGCCACAAGAGCTTCCTGTCATACTTCTTATAGTACTTTATCTTGACGATTGTAATCTGTAGATTGGGAAGTCATGTTAATGGATCCCAGTAAATACCTTTTTGTTTTTTGTTTTTTAGTACAATAAAATATCTCTGTTTTGTATGTTGGTAGAAACTTGGAACTGTTTCACAAAGTCTTTTTTCAGTTTTATATATTTATATGTATGGAGGGGCTGTCATTGGGTGCTTTCAAGTCAGAACCCACTCATAGCTGACCTTTGATTAGGTCTTCAGAGGTTGATAGATTACTCATCTTTTCTTGCTATGTATGTATTTATATACTGTATTTGTATAGATCAATCCGTATATACATGAGTATTGTGTATTGTAGGTTCTAGTTTTAAAAACAGACTATGACAGAGAAATTCCAGTCTATTGGAGACCATTTTGGAATCTCCTTATCTATGTAATAGCAAAAAATTACAAGCAGCCAAAAGTTCCATTAGGAAGAGAATGGATAAATTGTGGAATGTTCTCAAGAACAGTGTGATTTAAAAAAAAGAAAAAAGTGCATATTGAGAATATATCGTTTATCCAAAGCTTTTAATATGCAAAACAATGCATTGTACAGGTATGTATGTACATTTGTACTAAAATATGTGAAGGAATTATAAATAGTTTATGCAGTGATTGTGGGGAGGTGGAACAGTTTACAATTGGAGAGCGGCTCTCCATTTTTATTTATTTCTTTTACTAGGTGATGGATTATTTTAACATAAAATGAGGAAAGAATAGGAGAACTGAAACTAGAGGCTCCAGGGATAGCTGTAATGAGACACAGATCAATGAAATGTTAGATCGAAGGAGGTTAAAGTTGAAAGAGGGTGTTCTGGGAGTGGTACGGGGTTTTGTTTTGTGTTGGTTAATTTTTTTCTTTTCCTCTTTTTTATACATTTATAAAATCTATTTTATTTGAGTGAAAGTTTACAAGTCTTTTTCTTTCCAGATAATTTTTCACAGACACTTTTCTTCTTTTTTTAATATGGGAGAGATACATACTGGGATGTTTCTAGGAAAGATCTCCCTGAGCTTAGGTGGTGACTTCAGGAGTCAAAGGGAAACCAAACAGCAAAGTCCTAATCCATTTCCTACCTAGTTTTCAGCAGCCCATCTGTCTTCCTTCTAGTATGTCTTCCTCACTAGCATGTCTGCTTAATCTAAAACAACAGCTTTGTATGTGTCCCTCGGTGACTCAGACATCTGGGATAGATTCCTCACCTCTGCATCATGCAGTTCTGCTTAGTAAACTCTCCCCGTCCTCCTTTAACTCATCTTTCCAGCCCTCTTTCATGCTCCCCCTCCACTAACATGTTTGTCCCAGCCAGTAATGGGCACTCTTTTCCTGAATGCTACCAAACTATTTCATACAAAGTTGATGCCCACTTCTTTACTTTTGTTATTTGAGTGAAAGTTCAGAAATCATACTGGTTTGTAAAAAATTCAATTATTTTTAGATATTTTGTTTTATAACATTAATTAGCATTAATGAATGTATCTTATGAATTACACTGTCTAAATCACTCTGGTGGCCTAGTTGGTAGGAAGTTGTGTTGCCAGGACAAAGGCCGATGGTTTGAATCCACCTCTGTGAAAGTAGATGGGCCACTTCTCCCATGAAATTTGTGCCTCAGAAAACCCACAGAAGGGTCAGCTACAAGTCCATTCTGTCTCAGTAACACTGAGGGAGAATCACTCCCTACTGCTTCCCCTTCACTGTTGCTTCCGTTTTGACTCATTGCTACCCTCCAGGACAAAACACTTAGAATATATATATATTTTTTTCTTACTCTTCTTACTTTCTCTGAACGCATAATATAAAGGAAGAGAATCAGAGCAGCTTGTCTTTTCTTAATTGAATCATAGTATATGTTGTTCACTGTCTTCTTTGGTTTTGGTTTATTCAGCAGTGTGCTATAGGGCTTTCCACATTAGGACTTACATGTGCTTTGTCACATGTTCTGCTGCTTTTTCTTTCCTGGTTATGTAGAATAGGTGAGCCACAATATATTTAACTTTAATCCTGTGATCCGCTCTTTCAGTTACTGCAAACTTTTCTTTTACTGTTGTGAACATCCTAGTATCTATTATTCTGATACCTTTATAGAAAATACAGCCTTCTAAAAGTTAATAGTTAAATTAATATTTATTTGGCTTTGAATCATGTAATTTCCCAGATTTTACTAGTTTACGTAATTAACTTTTCGGGTCTGCGTCTTCATCTGTAAAATGAGAATGCAATAAATAATTTCATGAAAATTAAATTACCTCAGGCACACTAACATCCCATAACACTTTATTTTTTTAATTGGAATTTTAATGAAAGTTTATAGAGAACTTGGATTTCCGCTCATTCATTGTTGCATATTTTCCTCCCTGCCTCCCTTTCCCCCCAATAACACATTTTAATCCCCTTCTTTACAAGTTGTCTTCCCAATTAGAGTACAAGCTTCAGGAGGGCAGGGATACTTTAACATCTCAGCATTGGTCATGTTTTTATTTCACTCACTGCAACTTAGAACGCTATTCAGTTGCCTAACTGCATTCTTTAATCTACTTTTGTATCCTTACAGGATTGCCAAGGATCCAAGATTTGAACGATTACCATGCACACACAAAGGAACCTATGCAGATGACTGCTTGGTGCAGAGAGTAACACAGGTAGCATCTGTTCTAACATTCTTACACTGTTGAGGGAAGAGAGGGAGATAGTCCCTATCTCTGTGTGTTCATTAGCAGTACTATTTAGGAATAGAAATGGGGGAGTTTAAGTGTACATTTATCCAAAGAATCTCTTCATAAATACGGAGATAGCCTCATTTATGTGGGAAAATGGATTGAAAATTTGCTCTGTTATCATAATGGAGAAAGCATGGGTTTTAAATTCCAGCAGTGTATCACATTCCACCTTCCTGTGAATCTAAACCAAGGTTCCATTTATCTGAATGCAGCAGTGGTATGTCTCTCTCACTATGCTTAATCCTAAAAGTGTTTTTGCATTAAATGTGAGAGTTTCCCAAGATGTTGTTTCTTACATGTATTCTAAGATAGGGTTTTTAAAATTCTCTCTGGCTTCCCTGTCAAACTCCATAAGAATGTCTATTACAGATTACCCTTGTTAAAGCCTCTCTTTGCTGAAGACTGATGTTAGCCACTGTTTAGCTGGCCTCCAGCTCATAGTGACCTTCTGCATAATGGAAAGAAACACTATTTGATGCCACCCCCATGTCATTTGGAGATCAGACTGACAGTGGTGATTGTAGGATATTTCAGTAACTGATTTTAGGCACTAGGCCTTTCTTCTAGTCTGTTGTATTCTGGAAGTTCTACAGAAACCTGTTCAGCATTATATTGTTGTTTGTTATTGTTAGGTGCCATGTAGTTCATTGCAAGTAATAGTAACATTAAAAACAACAGATCTGAACTGGGCCCTGTCCTTTGCCCTCCTTATCATCTCTGACATACCCAAACCTTTATTACAGTCACTGTGTCAGCCCATCTTATTGAAGGTCTTCGTCTCTTTGTCTGACTCTCTATCTTTCCCAGCAGCAAAGCCTGCTTTTCCAAAGCCTGGCCCCTTCTGACAACATGACCAAAGTATGAGAGATGAAGCTCGGAATGATAGCAACAGGCAAATTCCCACTGACAGACTATATATGAAGTGCATTGGTTGAAAATCGAGCCCACGTGGAAGGCGATAATTCTACCACCAAACCACCACTGTCCCAAAGATAGTGACCATCTCCTTAACTATTTAATCACCTGAATGGAGTTCTGATTTCCCTGAATTCCCGACAGCATAGCTGATAGTGCTAGCAACTCGTTATAAACCTAAGATTTAGGTATGTTACAGGAACAAAAATAAAATACAATATATTTTTCACTAAAATTAATTTTTAAGAAATAAAATATATTCTCCAACTCACAACTCAGTCTTTCAAAGTTGCCAGAGTTAAGTGAGTTTAAACTTGATCTTGAGATCATAATCAAGTTTTATGATCTGGGGGGTAATCTACCCCTACCACTAGGAGGCCCCAGACAATCTAGGCCCTGAAATCCAGTGGAAGCAGACAGTTGTGTCCACCAACCTAAGACACTTTCACTCCATAGCCTCAGTGCATATTCCGAAATCCATACAATTATCTGCTCTAAATATGTTGGTTAAGTCTTTTCTACTTGAAATAGAAAATAGTTTGTGGCTTTTAAGTAACTAACTGTTACTCCTTCTTGTCCTCAGAATTCAGTCTGTAACTTGTTGTACAGTTAATCGATGCACAGTCTTAGCCCTAGTAGATACTCAGCAATTTCCATTTTCCTTTCTCCTTCAGGTTCTTGTAGTGATTATTCCAAATATGCAGTGGTCAGTCAGTGAAGTCTGTTAACTCTGTGTGAACACTCAGTCTCTGTCTCTTACAGCACAAGTGCTACATTGTGGCCACAGTTGACCGAGACCTTAAACGAAGAATCCGTAAGATCCCTGGAGTTCCAATCATGTACATTTCTAACCACAGGTGAGAGATTTCTTTGAGCTAATTACTAGTGGTTGGAATGCGAAAGTTGGAAAAATGAAAGACAAGTAGTTGGAAAATATGACCTTGTTGATAAAACAGGAAAAATACCATTGATCAAATGATAGAATTTTCTAAGACTGATAGTTTATTCATTGCAGATGCTCTTTCTCAATAGTGTAAATAGTGACTGTGCACAAGGACCTCAGTGTATAGCATATGTATTACTCAGATCATCTACATCTGTGGAAAGATGATGGAGAAGCTCTATATCGTCAGTCAGAACAAAGTCAGAGGCTAACTGCACAGTGTCAGTTGTCATATGCAAAAAAATTAAAGCAGGTCTCTGAGAGCTGAAATGCAACTTTGAAAAATAAGACTCAACGCATTGACTGAATGCTAATGGAGGTGTTTCAACAGATTGAGATGCTCTCTCAACTGTCCCAAAAAATTTGGAAGACAGCTACCTGGCCAACTGACTGGAAGAAATACACATTTATGTCCAGTTCACAAAAAGATAATCCCTGGGAATTACCAAAGTAATGCCATTAATGCCATGTGCAAGTAAAGTTTTGTTGTAGTTAAATCAAAAAACAGTTGCAGAAGTACATCAATAGGAAACTGCTACAAATTCAAGCCAGATTTAGAAGAGGATATAGAACAAAGAATATCATTGCTGACATCAGATAAACTTTACTGAAGACACAAATGCCAGAAAGATATTCAGTGTGTAGTTTTTTTGCCTATCTAAAGGTGTTTGTGGAGCTTTTAACATATTATGCAAAGAATGAAAACTTAGGGACATAATTTTGCTGAAAGAAGACATATGTAGATGAAGAGGTAGCATTTCAAAGAGAACAAGGGATTAATGCATGTTTAAAGTCAGGAGAATTGTATACCATGCTTATAACTTTTCACCATACTTATTCATTCTATATACTGAGCAAATAAACCAAAACCATGAAGACAAACACAGCATCAGAATTAGAAAATTCAGTAGCAGCCTGCAACATGATATGACACAACTTTGCTTGCTGAAATGGAAAAGGGTTTAAAGCCTTACAGATGAAGATTAAAGACTACAGCATTCAGTATGAGTTATACTTTAACATTAAGAAAACAAATCCACTTAAGACATCAACAGAACAAATGGGCCAATAAACAATATTATGATAAATGGAGAAAATATTCATTAAGGGGATTTCTTATTATTTGTGTCCACATTCAATGTCCATTGACAGAACAGTCAGGAAGATGAAATTTATCTTGCTTTGGGCAAATCTACTGCAAAGGACATATTTAAAGTGTTAAAAAGCAAAGATGTCACTTTACAGACTAAGGTGTACCTCACCCAGGTCATAGTATTTTCAGTTGCCTGAGTGGCAGCCACTTCCTAAACACCATGCCTCTGGAAGCTATGAACTTGGAGAAATGACCAAAGTTACAGAAAGACTTCAGGTCTTTTGCGCATAGGTTTGTTATGAGTAGTGCTCAACTCGACAGCAGTCAACAACATCAACAATGTGCACATTATCCAGGAAGCTGAACTCTGTGAAGACTGGCATCAGGATTGGATGGAGGCTCATCAGTAACCTTGGTTATGCAGATTACACAGCCTTGCTTGCTGAAAGTGAGGATGACTTGAAGCACTTGTAGGGAATCAACAAATGCAGCCTTTGGTATGGATTGCATCTCAGTGTCAAGAAGACAAAGATTGGGGAAAACAGTGCAACAATGAATGAATGAAAACCCAAAATCTCTGTAAATGTTCATTAAAACTAATAAAATTTAATAATAAAAAAAAAAGAAAAGAGATAAGTAAAAAAAAAAAAGACAAAGATTCTTATCACTGGAGCAATAGGCAACATCATGATGGATGGAGAAAAGATTGAAACTGTCAGCAGCTTCATCTTGCATGGATCCCCAATTAATAACTTTGATACCAGAAGGTCAAGGACTACAGCCTTCAGTATGGATTGAAGCTCAACATCAAGAAGATAAAGATTCTCACCACTGAGCCAATTGGCAGCATCAAAGAGCATCAGTCTCAAAGAGATTGAGATAGTTAACAGTTTCAGTTTGCTTGGCTCCACAGTCAACACTCTTGGAACCAGCAGCCAGGAAGTCAAGAGACGAAATTACATTGGGAAAGTCAGCTGTGAGGGACCTCTCAAGAGTACTGAAGAGCAATGACGTCGACTGGAGACTAAGGTGCGCCTGAACTGGCGTTACGTGCTATTCATCAGAGAATTGGACAGTGACTAGGGATGATAGAGAATTGATGCCTTTGAGCTGTGGTGCTGGAAAGGAGTGTTGAATATACCATGGACTGCTAGGAGAACAGACAGGTTTGTCCCAGAGAGGGTGAAGCCAGAAGCCTCTTTGGAGTCAAGGATTCTGAAGTTTCATCTGACATATTGGGGCATGTTACAAGGAGGGACTGGTCCTTGGAGAGGGACATCATGTTTGGGAAAGTGGAGGGATAGCTCAGGAGAGCAAGACCCGCGATGAAATGTATCAATTCTGTAATTGGGGTGGTGGGAATGAGTGTATCGGGGACAGCTATGTTGGCACAGGATAGAGCAGCATTTAGGGCTTTTGTACATAGGGTCGCTATGAGTTGCAGGTGACTCAACAGCACATAACAACCACCACCAGCAGTCAGGAAATAAGAAGTGTTGTTTGCTTGGCTCCACAATCAACACTCATGGCACCAGAAGCCAGAAAATTAAAAAATATATTGCAATGGGAAAGTCTGCCGTTAAAGACCTTCCAAAGTTCTGAAGAGCAGTACTGTAACAGAGCGTCTGATACAGGCCATGGTCTTTGAAATCACTTGCTATGTGTCAGAGAGCTGGGCAATGATTAGGGATTATAGAAGGATAATTGATGCCTTTGAGCTGTGGTGTTGGAGAAGAGTATTGAATATACCATGGACTGCTAAGAAAAGGAACAGGTTCATCCTTGAGAGGATTAAACCAGGCTGCGCTTTGGAAGCAGAGATGCTGAAACTTTGTCGGTCATACTTTGGGCATGTTGCAAGGAGGGACCAGTCCTTGAAGAGGGACGTCATGCTTGGAAGGTTGGAGGGACAGCACAAGAGGGGAAGATCGTCTATGAGATGGATTGATCAAGAGACTATGGTTATGGGGGTAGTTGTGTCAGAGACAAGTGAGATTGGCACAGGATAGAACAGTCTAAGGCTGTTGTACCTATAGGGTTGCTATGAGTCGCAGATGACTCAATGGCACATAACAACAACAACAACATTGTACTTAGGAACCTTTCCAAATTATTGAGGGGTAATGATGTCAGTTTGAGGACTGAGGTATGTCTGACACAATCTATAGTCTTTCCAATTGCTTACTACACATCTGAGAGCTGGACAGTGACTAAGGATGACAGAAAAAGAATTGACACCTTTGAGCTGTGATGTTGGGCCAAGAGAACAAATAGATATGTCTTGGAAAGGGTGCAGCCAGAGCACTCTTTGGAGGGAAGTATGATGAGACTTCTTCTTACATATTTTGGGCATATTGCTGGGAGGGGCTCTTTCTTGGAAAGGGACATGATACTGGGAAGGGTGGAAGGTCGGCGAAAGAGATGAAGACCCTGAACCAGATAGATTGACAACAGTGACTGCTGTAATGGGCTCTTTTGTGTCAGGAAGAGTAAGAATGGCAAAGGATAGAACAGGGTTCAGATCTTTTGTTCACAGAGTCACTACAAGTCGGACTAGACTCATTGGCACCTAACAAAAACAACGTGCATGTGATAGCTGAAAATGAATAAGGAAGCCTTAAGAATTGATGTCTGTGGGTTATGGTTTACAAAGACAATTGACTACAGAATAGACTGCCAGAAGATCAAATCTGTCGTGGAGATAGAGCCTGAGTGCTTCTTAGAAGTGAGGTTGAACCTCTATTTGTGACTTTGAAAAATAAAGATGAAATCATAGTATGTAGTTAGCTTTTTTTACTGCCAGTCATTCATTATGGTTTTTCTCAACAATGTTCCCTCTGACAAAAATGGTTTCTATTGGAGGAGTACTGTAATCAGTAGAGGATAAGTTGTTCTGACCTCCCCCTTTCTTACCCATGTTAACTTTTTGTCTTGATCAGGTACAATATTGAGCGGATGCCAGATGATTATGGAGCCCCACGATTTTGAGTCTTACAAGACAAAGTTTACCACCTTCCTTCAACTACCTTTCTTGATTTCCAGTTCATTAAACTTGGTTCCTTTTTACTTTTTTTGGCTAAGTATTTTTTTCATGCTATTTTTAAAATGTTTGTTGTCTCTTAAATACTATTG